AGACTTGAGCAGCCCAAACTAAGTGGCCTTAGTTTTTGATTCATTATTTTATATGGTTTGCTGCTATGGTCTAATGGAAACCGTAGACCATATCTTAATGCAATGTTTGACTGAATTCAGCTGTTTTGATGATGAATAATGCAGCATAATTTCTGCCCCCTAACTTCCTCTCCATCAGCAGTACATTGGAAATTAAATGAAAAACAAACATTAAACAGCGTTGCGTATTATGACACAAAATGTCCAAGAAGTTGGCCTGATTCAGCCTTTTTTGCATATTCATTATGTAAGGCTACGAATGCAAATGAGGCTCTCTGCTGAAGTTTGTAGAGAGCGGAAATTAGCATTACTGTGATGCAGGCCGGTGCCAAATAGAATCATTATTCATCCTTTGAGGAGGCTCTCCAATCACATCATGGCTCACGATAAATGGCAAAACCTTAAGTACCGATGATGGATGTTGGTCATCATTCATTTTTTGGGTGACAATGCAGGACAAAGAATGCATAAAGCATAAAATACTAAAATTCTCTTATGCGTCTACTCATTTTCTACATAGTTTTGACAGCTAATCATGTCTGATTCCTAAGAAACTTGCTCATGATGCATTACAGTGCTGAAGTTCTTCATTATTTAGTGTGGGATTTTGCAACAGACAGCAAAATGGTATTATGAAAAATAACCATTTATTAGTAGAGTACATATTTTGTGCTGTAGTGCAAGACTTAACAATATTTTTATTGTATTTCTTTTTGATTGAACCAGTATGGTATATTGTTTGAAATACAATTTTATATACAGGTATTTCTACAGTATATATATATATATATATATATATATATATATATATATATATATATATATTATATATAAGAACAGTATTTATTTGAAATAGAAACCTTTAGTAACATTATAAATGTCTTTACTGTAACTTCTGATCAAAGTAACGCATCCTTGCTGAATAAAATGTGCAAACTAGGCCACACATCATGTAGCATTTTGGCTCCCAAAAATTATTAACAAACACAATGGTGCGCAAAACTTTTCAGAGAGAACGCAAAAAACATTGAAATATTTTTCATCCCATATTTTTCCCATCACCATGTCCCTTTTAGGGGCTCCAGACAAATGTCCTGTTTAGAATCATCACGTAAATACAGTCAATCTGGAAACATTCTGCAATTTTAGTGTAAAGCAGGAGTGTGTGAGATGTACAGTACATCAGCATCCCTGCACACCTTCATCTATGCGCTCTACGGCACTAATGCAGACACATCTGGTATCCACGTTTGTTGCCCGCCTGCCCATCTGTCTACACTTTTTCTAATCCATGCTTGAGTGGGCACTGTGTTTCTTGTCTGAGTCTCTTCAGGGGTAAGGAACGGCAAACTACACAAACAGTTTGCTCGTTCCCTCAACAAGGTGAGTAATGTTAAAGCTGAGGCCTGAGGCGGGAGCTCTGGTGAGTCAGCTGTTGATGTGGAAAGGACATTTCTCCCATGTTTCTGGCTTCTGCTTGATGTTCGCATTAGTCAGCCACCACTGAACAACACATCACTTTCTGTCAGGTGAACAACCCATCTTGATTAAGTGATTGGTGTTTTTGAGGAACTTATTAAGGGTCTCTGAATGGCCTGACAAACTCACTCTACTGTATTTTAGACCTCTCCTCTTAAATGCTATATTTATAATTCTTGCACAACAACACTGGGATGATATTCCTCAAAGATTATTTAATGTTTGTTCAAAACGCAAACCCATCAAACTACTGCTGCAATAATTCATCCGAACCACTTAAAGTCCCTCTGTAGTCAATAATTGTTTCCTTGAAAAAAACATTACCTTAAAATACCTCGAATGTAACTACACCCTTGCCTCATTTAGTATATGCAGTTCTATGAATATGCAAATGAGCCCTGCCTCCACTCACTCACAACACCTCAGAGATCCACTCGTTGACGATCACAGGTTGACCTGATTGTTTGTGACATCAGAAACACCAGCGATTTCAAACCGTGTTTTTGAGACTGTCTTCGGTTCACTGCAGTTTCTCAAGGAGAAAATACTCAGCAATGGTGTTGACTTATGAATTTACACATGGTTTGTCTTAAAGCATATTAAAAACACCACATAGACATATAAACCACATTTAAAAGCTGGATTTTCACCACAGGGTATACAGACTCCATTCACACTGTGTTGAAGATAACTGATTGTAAATAAGAGATTGACTTATACTGCTTTTTAGACACAATATCTAAATGATCATTAGACTACAACAATAAAAACATAATCAGCATTGTATTCTTTATAAACATTAATAATAATAATAGCTAAATGACAACTAGATTACAACAATAAAAAAATAACCTGCATTATATTATTTATTAACGTTGTTATTTGTATTATTAATGATAATACAAATCTTTTCTTGCAATCTAAATGTTTAAAAATGTAACTTTCATCTTTGAGTTGGGTTTTGTCTCACTGTTAAGCTACACATGTATCACGTCAAAACGAATGCCTATTATTTAAAACGTTTAGTAAATATCCAAACAACATGTTAAAAAAATGACTTTGATTATTAGAGTTGGGTGATTTTCTCTAAAACCCCTCCTAATGGTGCCAATAAAACGGATATTCAATCACCAGCAGCCGATTAAGATGAAAAGTCTAGATCTGAAAAAAAAAATATATATATATATATTAATAAATATCTAATGTAAATTTTATACTTGAAAATCTATGAAAATGTGAGATAACTTCACCTCCTTCATATAATTAAATTAACCTAATCTATAAAGATTAAGGATATTTCTGTGTGTAAAATCAAATTGGATAAGTCACATTTAATATACATGCACCTATATACAGTACATACCACATTATGGCTTTGTTTTAGATAGAATATAATTTATAATTTAATACTTGGTAAAAAGTTAGTCTGTTGTATGCTAAGTTTTTCTGTTATCATTTTCTGCAGGTGATCTTCCACAAAAATCCTCCCATCAGCACGCTCATTTTCTTCATTGCAAGCAGTTGCAAGCATTCTAGAGCAAAACAAAAATTCTCATTTATTTTCCATTTCTATTGTGCACAGCTCATCAATCATCAAGCCGCTTTTAACTGTCATCATTAAATCATCTGTCTTAAGTTTAATGATCTAGTATATAGAGCCTGTTTTACACCCTGTGGGACATCATTATAATCTTCCTTGGTGAAAAGTTTATTAATATTCAAATAGGCTTTTCATCAACGAGAGCTGCTGGGTTTTTATCCCATGAATTAGTGGGAATAAGAGCGAACTGTGCCTGTGTGGTGCTGAAGATGAGATTGAGTGTTCTTTATGTAACTCTGATGAATAGTTATTTACTGAATCTCTTTGGCTGTCAGTATTTGTAATGCAAATTCATATAGAGCTTCATGCTGTTGACTTTTGGCAAAGGTCTTGCAGTTTATTAATGATGCAGTCATGCTGTTTCTTTCAGAAGACTGAATTACATGTTTGCAATAACTCGATTGTTGATAGGGGGAATATGAATATTAGTTCTTTGTCTGGGTTTTCTCCAAGCATGACTCAACACTGACATCTACAGTAATACAGCCAGGTTTGCAGTGTCATCAAAGGCAAGCGGAACACAGTTAAAGGGATAGTTCACCCAAAACAATTCTGTAATCATTTACTCATCCTCAAGTTGTTCCAAACCTGTATGAATTTCTTTATTCTGCTTAAAACAGAAGAAGATATTTTGAAGAATAGTATGGGGAATAATACTATGGAAGAAAATGGGGCCCGTCAACTGTTTGGTCACCAACATTCTTCAAAATATCTTCAAAATAAAGAAAGAAATTCATACAGGTTTGGAACAATAAAAACATAAAGAGTAAATGATGACAGAATTTTCGTTTTTGGGTGAACTGTCCCTTAAATATTTCAACAACAAAAAAATTACTGACCAAGTACCAACACTGATGACCGGAGAGGGGAAAAAAACAATCATAAAAAATAATAAACTACTAACAAACTTTTGGAAGCAACAACACCATGTTGTTTAAAAAAAAAAAAGTCAGATGAGGGCAGAACCATGATATGTCTTATTATTTTCCTCAAAATAAACATAAGCTTTTAACTAGGCTAATTAAATTCCCTGATCATAGGCCAACTTACATTTGTTGTATGAGTTACACTTTGTATTATCAATTCTAGACTGAAATGGCTTTACCTATAAGCTTACAAAACATTTTGAGCTATTAAAATGTCAATTTAATTTAATTTACCTTTATCTTTACCGTTTGTAGTAGCTGGCGGAGGATCCCATTCACATTGGTCGAACTTGTTTTCGCGCCTTTAACTGTAAATTTAGAGGTGGGGATAGGAGAATTTTTAATGAGATATAGTGAAAGACGAGATGTAACTTTGCCTAGACAAGTTATCACTAATCTCATTCTAATGTTTAAATCTTAATGCTATATTTAGATTAAAGTGTGTATTTTAACATCTAAGCGTTAAAGAAGAAAAAAACTATGTAATCGCCTTTTTTTAAGTCGTGATTATGTGGCTAATCAAGCTTACTCGTGTCTTAAACAAGCAGTAATAGTTTCCAGAAAATTAGAATCAGAGTTGGAGTCAAATTCCAAAATTCCTATTTTTGATAAAAATGTCCATTATAAAACCAGAAAATTACATTCTATATAAAACACCCATACATGACTCTCGAGAAATAACTCCTTTTAAATTAGGAGTTTTAATAAGGAACAATATTCCTATTGGATTTGGTATTTTCTGCACGTCTTTGGAATTTATTTATTTAAAAAAATATGGATTTGGTTTTATTTTGGATCTATTTTAGTTTTTATAAAATGTTCTTTAAAAATTATTATGGTGTAGATCTTAAGCTATTTAAAATAGCAATGGTTGCATGGGATAATATTTTAAATATATGTTTATATCGTATTTTAAAAGTCAACTTTTCAGAAGGCTTTTATTTTGAAGGGACTGAGCTGACAGCGAGTTGTACAACAGCAGCACAGCTTTAGTGAAGGTAGTCAAATAACCCTTTTCTTTGTTGCATGTATGTTCTGTTGAACACTAAACTTGAACGGTGCCCTTTTCAGCTACAAAAAGCGCCAGATTCTAAAATGATAAAATAAGGGATTTGCGTTTTCAGAGCGCATATTTAAGTTTGTTGTTATCGGAAGGCATTGCTAGCAGTTCAGGCTAATTTATAGCCGTTTTGTTTTTACTTACAATATCTGTGAAAAAAAATACTGTAAAGTAAGACTTAATATTGTTTATTTATTTATTTTATGATACAATAAATATTTTACACTGTAAATAAAAAGGTTAAACCCTTTTGAAGAATCCCTAGTTCATAAGCTAGGAATGGGTTGCCTTGGAGAAAGTTTGTCTTGATTGCCTCTTAATCGTCGATGTTTAACGTTAGTTTGTAGACTAGAGTTGTATTGTGAGCTGTTGTTCATTGTATTTTGTATTCTCAGCTGGCCTGTCGATTGAAGGATGGAGGCCAGTGGCAGACCCTCCACAGCACAGATTGTGTTGCTGGCCACTAGTTCGGCTCTGACTGCTGTCTTGTACTCCATATACAAGAAGAAATCGAGCCATGTGGCTAGACTAAGGGTAAGAAAACAACCCTGGTGTATTTATTTTAATAACACCACCACTTGAAGAAGTAGATCATAGTTAAACCTGACCTGTGTAACAGGAGGCCAAGAAGATGTCATTAAATCCAGACCTGAAAACTATCCTCAATGAAGCACCAGGAAAATGTGTTCCTTATGCAGTTATTGAAGGTATGGCTTCTGAGATTAATCCAGTGCTGCTGTTAATCAAACCAGCTGATGTCGATACAATACTTTTTGACCCACTATAATAAAGACATGCTGGAAAATAATAAGAGGACACTAGCAAAAATAGGATTAGTGGGTTTTAAATGTTCTAGTGTTTTATTCATACGTCTATAGGTGTTGTGCGCTCAGTGAAGGAGACCTTGAACAGCCAGTTTGTGGACAACTGTAAAGGAGTCATCGAGAGGTTGACCCTAAAGGAGAAGAAGATGGTGTGGAATCGCACAACACATCTGTGGTACTTGTTCTGAACGTGTAAAACTGTCCGTTAATACTATTATATAATCTATACACTATGATATATTGTCAATTACACTATCAGCGTTTTGTTTTCTTAATATAAAATATGTATAATAATATTTATTTTTTAATCATTATACTTTAAGTATACTTTAAATAATTAATTATAACTACATATTTCTCAAATATTTAGGTAATAAATATTATTTATATATTTTTATATATATTTATATATTACTAATATTATTTAGTAATAAATTATAATTTTTAATAATTACACTATTTCAATTGTACGTATTTATATTTACATACGTATTTATGTCAATATTTAGATTATAATTTAAATATGTATTGTTTTAACATTAACATTAAAATTTTAATTTTTTTTTCTAATTGTATCATAATTTATTTAAATCTCTAAATTTACCTCCATATTTTTTTTAAATAATTAGATAATACTTTAAATATTTGTTATTTATTGTTTTAATATAACAATATTTATAATCTATAATTGTAATAGTTTTTTATATTCTAAACATCAAAAATATTTAACTTTAATATATATATATATTTAATATTTATCATTTATATTTATATACAAATTTAGATTTTAGCTTTTAAAATGATATCTTAATTCACTGTGCCAATACATCTTTCTTTTAGGAATGATTGTGAAAAGCTCATCCACCAACGCACCAACACCGTGCCCTTTGACCTGGCCCCGCATGATGACACCATTCCCACAACAGTGCGAGTGGTCCGTCCACTCGATGCAGCTGAACTGGATCTGGAGACCACCTATGAGAACTTCCACCCCTCCCAGCAGTCTCTGACCAATGTCATCGGTCACTTCATCAGCGGCGAGCGGCCGCAGGGCATCCAGGAGACGGAAGAAATGCTCCGTCTGGGTGCCAGCATGACTGGCGTAGGGGAGCTGGTGCTGGACAACAACCTAGTTCGTCTTCAACCCCCTAAGCAGGGCCTGCGGTACTTCCTCAGCCGCCTGGACTACGACACGCTCCTGAGTAAGCAAGAGGGTTACCTGCGGCTCTGGAGGGTCTTGACGGTGCTGTTTGGCTTGACTGCCTGTGCCACGCTATTCTACCTGCTGTGGCGACAGTACGTGCTGCGTAAGGAGCGGAGGAAAGAGCGCAGCGTACTGGACGAGTACAGAAAGTGGCAGAGCAGACGTTTAAAGGAGCTCGACCTGGCGGAGGGTGATGTGTCTCCTACCACATGCACAATATGCCTGAGTCACGAGCGCTCCTGCGTGTTTCTAGAGTGCGGTCACGTGTGTACCTGTGAGGAATGCTATAGGGCCCTCCCCGAACCTAAGAAGTGCCCCATATGCAGGGCTAAAATAGATAGGATTGTCCCTCTGTATAACAGCTAGAGGCCTTATTATGAATATGCATTATGCTCTTTAAAATGGGCAGGTTTTTGGATGTGAGCAGAGCATTTCTTGCCATGTAATATCAGCCATAATGCAAATACTCTGCATTAAAAAATATTCTTCCAGTTTGAGTTGGGTTTTGTATTCTGTTGATTGATCGCACTGTTGGCAATTTTAATCATCACCTGTGCCTGTGTGAACTGAAATTCTGTTGTATTTCAACCAAAATCAAAACAAAAGAAAGTTTATAAAGACGGTTTCTTCTATAAGACCAAAATAATGAATAAAAGCGCTTATTTTAGGACCATTAGGATTTTTTGCATTGTGAATATTTTTTGGTTCACATTAATTTCTTACTACTGTATTTTTTTGATTACAGTAAAAACTACTATAATACAGATTTTATTTTGTATTAAAAAAGGTAAACGCAATACATTGGATTTTTTTTTTTTATACTTAACACACAGGTTTGTGCTTAGTCATCATGAAAATGTTACAGTACCTAATGGTCCTAAAAACAGGATTCATTTTCTTTATGTAAAATAAAGTTTCATTTTGGGGTTAAATATTGCCATGCTGATGTAAAGATGTAAAGCTTTAATCTGATTTATTAAATGGGAATTTGTTGAACCTAATCAGTTTGTTCTTCCTTTGTTCTTCAGTATGGTTTAATATTAGCTATGCATAATTTACAAAGAATATTATAATGATATAAAGAGTAAATAAAGAATGTTTTTTCTGTAGTGGATCAGTCTGTGTGATCTGAATTTGCCAATTGTTGATGTTTACTTCCACGTACCAGTTGTGTATATGCGACAGTGACATTACTTTACACAACAGGAGATAAATATATACTAGTTTAACCTTAGATGGCCACAATGAAGTACTAAAAGTCTAACAATAGTCTGTAAAGCCAATCAGAATTAAACCACTAACTATTTAGAATTATATATTGTAACTATATGCGTTTCCTAATTGAACTGGAAAGGGCTAAATGAAGGTGGAAGCTTATTAAACAGTTTTTTTAATGTTCAAACTGATTTTTAACCACTGAGCTACATTGGCAAAAACAAATGGAAAGGGGGAGGAGCTTGCAGGTGATATTTATCTGACTGGCGTCTACCTGGTCTCGGAACTAACTGTAATTTGCATCCTTTTGTATATCAGTTTGTCCAAATATTTCCAGCCAAAACACATTTTAGTCTAACCAGTTTAGTCTTCCAACCTAAACACATTCTGTCATCATCCTGCTTTTAAATTACACCACCTTGTTGTTTACTGTTATTTATAGTTATTGATTATGGTGGATGGAGAGGGAGCACGTGACGTCTGAGGTGTTACCTTATGAAGAAAACAGACACTTTGTCCAGCACAAGGAGCAGATAAGCCTCACCAGATGCCGTCTCAACAACTTCTGCACGTTTCCATTAAAGTTGTACTTGTACAGTTTCCGTGTGTTTTGCAGAAAGTCAAGGAAACCTTGAACAGCCTTTTTGTCGACAACTGCAACAGGGTCCTGAAAGAGAAGAGGGTGCTGAATCACGCAACAGATGTCTGGTAAATATTCTAAATTTGTATATGGCCATTAATATTAAAATGATTTATTTGACAGTAAGTGTACTTACAGTGTACTTGCTTAAGGACGTACTGGATAATATAAGGTAACTACATGGGTTAGGTTAAGGGGAAGGTTCAGGATTAGTACCTAGTTATTACCCAGTTATTGTAATTACTGTAATAAGTACATAGTATGTACATGGGGACTTTAAAATAAAGTGCTACCTAATTATAAATTAAAATTATACACAATTGGCAACAGGTTTGCACACTCAAACTGTTCATACCAAGCGGGATGCAAATTGTTGAGATTGTTTGCATATTCTATGGAAGCTTATTTCCACCACACAATAAAAATGTAAAAAGCTAATTGCGACTTTTTATCTCACAATTATGACTTTTTTTTCCATAATTGCATGACATAAACTCAAACAATTCTAAAGTCAGATATATAGTCGCAATTGCGTGTTATAAAGTCGTGAGATTAAAATGAAGAATTGTGAGATAAAAGAAAGTTGTGAGTTGTTTTCTGCAGAATAAAAAAAAGATAATTCACCTATTAAAAAATGTAATAACTTTTTCACTCTGTGTGAATAGATCTATAGGATCCACAGTTAAGATTTTTGTTTGCATACATATTTTTGTCACCCACCAATCACATTAAAGGAAGTCAATGACTTCCTTTATGCAAAACACAAACCATCACTAAATGTAACAGTTATGTATCTCTCTCATGTAATGGAAAAATGTAAGTAAATATGAATGATATAAGAAGATTTGAAAATATAATGATAATACTAGTAGTGCCACTATTGTTCAAAATATTTTTTTGGAAAGAAATGATTGATTAATTAATTAACTTTCAAATAAAATGCCTTTTTGTGCAGAAGAATTAATATGCACTACCATTCAAAAGTTAAAAGTTAAGATATTTTTTGAATGAAATTAATCCTATTATTCAGAAAGCATGCATTGATCAAAAGTGACAGTAGAGACATTTGTACTAATGTTACACAAGATTTCTGTTTCAAATAAATGCTGTTCTTTTGAATCTTCTATTCATCAAAGAATCTTGAAAAAAAAAATCATGGTTTTCACAAAAATATGAATCAGCACAACTGTTTTCAACAGCAGCAAATCATCATATTAGAATGATTTCTGAAGGATCATGTGACACTGAAGACTGGAGTAATGATGCTGAAAATTCAGCTTTGATCACAGGAATAAAATACATTTTAAAATATATTCAAATAGAAAACAGTTATTTTACATAGTAATAATATTTCACAGTATTACTTTTTTTACTATATATTTTCATTTGTATCAAATAAATGCAGCCTTTGTGAGAATAAGAGACTCCTTTCAAAAAACCTTTTCAAAAAATTATACCAATCCCAAACTTTTGAACAGTAGTGTAAATATGATTCAAGGTTCCCCCTTTAGCTGTTCTAAATTCACTATAAACCTTGCTTTTATAAAACGGTTAGTCCATGAAAATATTTGTATTCACAGGTGTATGTTTGTAGAGTAATTTACAACGGCTTTAAACGAGGCTCGACCAATCAGAATCAAGGACCGGAACTATCCGTTTTACAATCACATTTTTAAAATGTTCCAACGTTTTGCTCTGCTTGCCTTGTTTGATGCTGCTATGACTTTTGACAGCTTGAACATCTGAAAAATATTTTTTATCAAAATTATGCATTTTGACAGCTTGACTGGTGTTGTGTGCAAGATGATGCAAGACAGCCACCTGGTTTGTGTCCCACCTCTGGACCTCCAGCACGTCCTCACTCCTCTGAAGAAGCAGGAGAGAGACCTATGGCTCTGCAGGGTCTTGAAGGTGATGCTTGGCCTGTCCGCATGCGCCATCTTCCTCTACATGCTGTGCGGGAAACCGAGGAGAAGAGTTAGGAAGTTCAGACGTATACAGGAGATCTTTAGAATAATACGATCTGTCAGAGAAGATATAAATGAAGATATGTATTAGATTTTAGATGCTCCTGGTTTAGAAGGGTTGAGGGGATATGTTATTGCTTGTTTCTTTGCTTTCATCTTAATTATTATTATCTATATCGCGATTAAGAAAGGCTGTATAGGTTATGCATATTTTACAAAGAATATTATAAAAATGTAAACGATTAAAGAACATGTAGATTTCTTTATTTTGCATTAATTGTACATGTAAGCAGAGAGTGTTAATGTGTCCAACCAGTAGATGGAGATAAATACCTGTCTAGCTTTACCATCACACTTCAATCTAGGAGGAGAAACTATGGGTTGTCTAGTACTGAGATCAGCCAATTGTGTAAATTACATAATTATGACACTAACAGAGCCAACGACATAATGACCATAATGCCTTTAAACCATTAAAACCACCAGAAATCTTCAAAAGCTTGAGTAATGAATACAGATTAAATCACATAAACCACTACTAAACCAATCATTTATGTTAAGATTGTAATCTAGTATATTGTTATACGAGTATAACAAGTATATGAGTCAAATTATATGCCTGTTGAATAACAAATGAGTTAGCATTATATAATGGTAGGTGATGCTCTTAAAGGGATAGTTCACCCAAAAATAAAAATTCTCTCATGCATTGCTCAACCTTATGTCATTCCAAATCGCAAAACTTTCATTCATCTTCGGAACACAAATGAAGATATTTTTGATGAAATATTAGAGCTTTCTGTCCCTCCATTGACAGCCTATGCAACTACTACTTTGACGCTTCAAAAGTTCATAAAGAGATCATAAAACTAATCCTTAGTTCAGTTGAGTTCGGTTCGGTTAGTTCGGTTGAGCTTCTGTTTATGTTTGCTGATGAATGTTTAAATGTGAATAAAAGCATAAATTCAATCTGTTCATCTTATAAAGGGAATGAGTCTCTTTAGAAAATTTGGACTAAACCGCTCATTTCATATGGATTAGTTTTACGATCTCTTTATGAACTTTCTGAAGTTCATAAATGGTAGTTGCGTAGCTGTCAATGGAGGGACAGGACACTCAGATTTCATAAAAAAAGATCTTCATGTACTAAAGAAAACTGTAAAATGGTTTACTGTAATGTATGTAATTTCTAATTTTACTATAAAACATTTTTTAACTGTTTTTAGTGTGGGGAAAAGTGTAGATTTTAACAGCTCAGATTTCAATCGCTAAATAACTCATGCAATCCTAGTCCTATAATCCTAATATGCAAGTTTTGGAGTAGTTTTTTTTTTTTTCTAAACTAAACAAAAAATACTTTCCCAAACACAACAGTCTCTCAGTTCATGAATTTGCACTTTTGGGTTTAAAAGCTACAACCTTAAACATGTCATGCCATTTTAATTAGTATATGATATTGTTTTTTTGTATTCATATAAGATTATTTGTTTTTAGGGGGACATCTTAAAAGGTTAGTTCACCCAAAATTGAAAATCCTGTCAGTAATTACTCACTCTCATGTTGTTCCAACCCCGTAAGACTTTCGTTCATCTTCGGAACACAAATTAAGATATTTTTGATTAAATCTGAGAGCTGGATCACTCCTCCATAGGCTTCTTAAGGGATCGAAACTGGCCGGCCCAAAAGTTATTAAAGGGGCACTTGGCAACTATTTCAACTTAATAAAACCGTTTAGAAATCATTTGAATGGTTCAATAACCTGTTCTGGAGAGAATGGTGACTTTCCCCGCTCCCCCCAGCGTCCCCAGGCGGAAAACCAACCTTGCAACATAACGTCCCGGTAAGTTGGAAATAGAAGTCTCGTGAGAAGCGAGAACGAGCGAGAACGAGCGAGAAACACGAACTGCTTTATGGCAACTCGACATAATTCTATGATACTGTGTATGATGTATTACCCACTCGGTAGACATAGCTCCACACGATAAAATTGGCCGGCTCCGATAATAACAAATGCACATAAGCAGCGGGAGGAAGTGAAGTTTTTTTATGACAGTGTTGTGAAAATATACGCCGCACAGCTGTAGGGGGAGCTCGATGAGAAAACATGCGACAACAAAAGTGAAAATCAGCGAAGAAATGACTAGAGTTGCCAAGTGCCCCTTTAAAGACAACGTTAAAATAGTCCGAGTGACTACAGTGGCTCAATCTTAAGTTTATCAAGCGACGAGAATACTTTTTGTACGCAAAAAACACAAAAATAACGACTTTATTCAACTCTTCATTTCCTTCTCTGTTGGCCTCGAGATTTCACGTAGTGTAACTGCACAGCGCTTCTATGTTGTACGTCACACGCAGGCTCACTATTGGCTGACGGCCCGACGCTGGTCATGTGTGTGATGCGTGTGACGTACAACCTAGAACCGTTGCGCAGTTTCACTACGTGAAATCTCGAGGCCAACAGAGAAAGAAATGAATAGTTGAATAAAGTCGTTATTTTTGTCTGTTTTTTGCGCACAAAAAGTATTCTCGTCGCTTGATAAACAAAAGATTGAGCCACTGTAGTCACTCGGACTATTTTAACGATGTCTTTAATAACTTTTGTGCCGGCCGGTTTCGATCCCTTAAGAAGCCTATGGAGGAGTGATCCAGCTCTCAGATTTAATAAAAAATATCTTAATTTGTGTTCCGAAGATGAACGAAAGTCTTACGGGGTTGGAACAACATGAGGGAGAGTAATTACTGACCCTTTAGATTCTGTCAAGTGTCTACAGATGAAAAATAGCCTTTTTGGCTCATTCATGGCACATTTACAGCCATGTTCATTACTGTGCACTGCCCCTGTAAATAAATACATTTGAAAAATGATTTAGGCAGGGAAGCTTCAGACAACGTAATGATGATACAGCATGAATCAACCCTTTATGTATTAAAACCCCTATCTTTCACCACTAAGCCACAGTACCCATGTGCAAAGACAAGAATGAGACAAGCTTCTGGGTTGGCATTGCAATGATGTTCAACCCTAGTGGGATTCAAACCCACATCCTTTTGGACACTAACCACTACACCACAGTACCCAAATGGTGCAGGCAGGCAGCAGTGCGAGATAGTGATGGCCGGTTCGTGAACGAATCGTTCTTTTGAACCGGTTCTTTTTAGTGAACCGGTCGAACCAGTACACTAAATCGGACTGAATCGTTCGAAACAGTTCGCGTCTTGCGTCAGTGCTGATACACAAGTTACTAAAGTTACTCACTTTCAGACATGCCTGACAGTCCCTCTGACTCGAAATAAACCAATATCCCGGAGTATATTTCACTCCAGTAAATCCAACAGTTTGAAACGTGTTGTTTTTGAGAGAAGTGATGAGCACGAGCAGCTGATACTGCGCAATGCGCATGCGCGTGCTACCTAACGCACATGTACAGCGATTATCGGATCACCAGTACAGAACCGAGAACTGTTTCTTTCGGACACGTTCGACATAATGAGAACAACTGATCGATGAGCTGAGCATGCGTGCAATTTTTTTCTGAGGGACGAAATGTACCTTTCTTAAGTATTTATTTAGTTGAACATCATAATGTTGGAAACATGTTTATCACATAATTACTGTATTATCACTGTATTATTTTAAAGTTTGGAAACACAATGAATGGATTGTAAACCTGTCAAATTAAACATTTATTAAAATAATATTTTCAGGAACAGCTCATTTAATTTCTAAGTAAGTTGATATAAATAGTTGACGTAAACTCTTGCCAAAGTTTTAATGGTGCACACTGCACAGTACTGCTTAGTAAATGTTTATAATGTGTTAAAACATAACGTATTAAACATATTGGAGAAGAAAGACATGCATCGATTTTTTTAGTTTTGTCGACTATATTCAGGTTTCACCAGTTCTCAGCTCAGCACACAGCCTATGCTACGGTTCTCGAGTCAAGAACTGGTTGTTGCAGTTCTTGAATCACCAGTACAGAACCGAGAACTGTTTCTTTCGGACACGTTCGATACGGAGAACCGATGAGCTGGAGATACTGAGCATGCGTGATAGCACCGTCTCTAAACAGAACTTTCTTTCGGCCAACTGATGATGTGCTGATGAGCACGCAGCACGGGTGAACCGAGGACTTAAATGAGGGGCCGAATTCGGCGAAATGTAAGTTTATTACAAATAAAATGATGAAGACCACTTATGCACTTATTTAAGACATGTTAAACATCCGCGTTTGTACATCGCCTGTAGGCTACAGGGTTCGTTTGCAAAATGTAAATGTAAGAAACTTATCCAAGAGGATTATGACGATGAGTACTATTATTTAAGTGAAGTTATGATTACAAATGCCTTTAATTTAAATGTATTTGTATCTGCCGGGATGATATAATTGACGTCATTACGCGAGGACGTAAAAGAACTGGTGAACCGGTTTTTTGAACCGGTTCATTGAAACGAACTGTCCGAAAGAACCGGTTCGCGGAAAAGAACCGAACTTCCCATCACTAGTGCGAGAGTGGAGGAGGAGAGGAGGCGAGGAGGAGAGGGGGGGTGGATGAGCTTCTGCGCGTGCCGTGCAGTCTGAGTCTGAGTGACGTCTCTCTGCTCTCTGAGGATCCGTGTGTTGTTGCATCGCTCCTGTTTTGCATCTACATCAGTTTTTCCGAATGACTTCAGCTCATCGCCTGTAAGTAACGACAGGAAAAGTGAAAGTGACTCCCATAGTGTGACGGTAAAATAAAGCTGCATCGTATCGTGACAGTTGAGATTCTCGCACGCCGTCTGCTTGCAGAGCCCTCGCTCGTCGGTTACCGAGTGTCTTATCCTGATCGATTATTGTGAACGGAATCATGTCAGAAGTGCTGCCTTACGACGAGAACATCTCTCCTTACGGTGATGATGGAGATGAAGAGCAGATATCCCTCACCTGTCGCCTGCAGAACAACAACAGTAACTTCTTCAGTTCTGCGCAGAACAAACGAGCTCCGAAACTCGGACAGATCGGACGCAGTAAGAGAGGTGAGAAAACGATTTTTTTACGTTGTCGTTGTGTCGTAGGTGAAATAAAAATAAGTGCGGATTATAGTCTTAAAGTATATATTAATGTTCTGATATCCAACAAACTACATAAATAGCTAACTAATGCGTCGAAGTAATGCCTCGTTTCCATTACCTTTAAGATACCGATGATTTAAATATGCTAATTTGTGGCATCACGTGATGATGTCAGCGTGATGCGTTTGTATTTACTTGTCTGCCTGTTCATAGTGAGATTTCATCTTAAGTCATATTGGTTTTGCTGTTTGTTGATTGCTAATTGACAAATAGAAACTTTTTCGTTAAAAGCATAGGCTATGTATATTATTACAGAGGAATAGTCCGGATCACAGCTATCAAGCTCCAAAAAGAGCACACACACACACACACACACACACACACACACACACACAAACTGTTCCCGGACAACAGCTATCAATAAAGAAACCAAATAATATATAAAATACATATATTGTGTATTTTATGTTCTTTTTAAAGCTTAAAAGCTCTGATCCGGATGATTCTTCAATAATTACTCATATGATAGCTTTGTGAAAGGGACTGAAATGTAAGTCATTATTCACTGATAATGTACTTGAAGCCCTGAAATCTCAGACTTCAGAAAATGAGATTTAAAGAAATGGCAGGCCAACATTTGGCTTGCTGTGTTTGTTTGTTTTTGTTTTTTAGCCTGACAGCAGCATGAACATTTTTCAGATATTTTATTTTATTTTTCTTTATTTTAATTCATTTCTATTTTAATCCACAGATAAAAAAAGATGTGGGTTTTTCAAAAATTTTAATCACCATTTAACTTTTTGCAGTTCAATTAATTAGTCCAGGAGTGTGACAATTTTTTTTAAGTACAAATATTATTTTTATTGTGCATCTATCCAGTATTATCAGGTCATGCAAAACGGCATGCATAATTATTATACCAGAACTAGAATTATTTTGTAAATAGTTTTAAAGGAATTTTAGCATGTCGTTCTATCGTATTTATTTACATTAGTCAGTTTTTCTTTCTTTTTTCTGCAGTCTGCATAGCCTTACTGTCCTGTCAATAAAACTAAAGTCTTGTCATTTCTCCAAGGGCAGCATGTTTGACCCCGTGTGCCTCGTGTGATTTCTCTTTCAGTTGTCATAGAAGATGACAGAATTGATGAAGTTCTGAACAACACAGCAGAGAAGTCATCGGCGGGAGTGTAACGCTCAAGGACGACGTCAAAGCGGCAGGAAATCGTGGGTTACGTGCATTCTGCATCAAAAGCACTTTGCAGTCCCTCTTAGTATGGGTTGAATTTCACTGTGCGGCAGCAGGCGAGGAGAGAGTCCCTGCTGCGGGCATCCGAACCGAGGAAGCTGGGCTCTGTCTGCTTTCTCTCTTTAAGGGCATGTTTCATATCCCTTCTTATAAAGTGACATCTTACACTGGACATGTTGTTTAAAATACATGTGGAGTTGGTCTGTAGTGGTCCAGATTCAGTTTATATTGTGAGAGGAATGCATTGATATAAATCACAAGCACAAATCTGGCAACTTTTGTTCATTATTGAGCACTCTTCGTTTCTTTTTGTGCACAATGAGAGTGTTTTTCACTTTAAATATCCGTATTATGATCTCCTGGATACATTTTGTCTTCTTTTGCAGAGATGATGGACAGAGCAAATGTTTTTTTATAGGATGAGAACGGAAAGAATACTTTTTTTAAAGCAATTTTTTTCATGTTGAATATTGTAATTCCTTTTTGTTGATGTGGCTGCAAACTGCCTGCTTAGCCTGAGTTCAAAAGCTTATTTTTATATCAAGGAGCTATTTCTGAAGAGGAAAAAAATGCTTATTTGGGTAATAGTCGTAGCACTTTCAAACGTGGTTGTCAGCTAAATGGATTTTGATCACTTTTGTGCTCAAATTTTGCAAAAATATGCCAGTCGACTTGTGTTTCCGTTCACCCGAGTAATGTGAAGTTTTCCAGGCCTGCCTCTCATATATGTTTCAGGGCTTTTCTAATGGCTTTTTTGCATGAGAATGGCACAAATGCCTCATTCTGTGGCAGTGAATTACTAATATATTTACTGTAATGTTACTTTGAATGACGAACCTCAGACTCTTGAATATCGTGTATGTTGCACTTCTCTATACTGTTAAACAGGGCTATATTTGCAACGAAATGTATGACCAATAAAATGTCATTACATAACAGAACTCTACCACCCTTACTGTACGTTATGTGAAACTTCTTCTCTTGGTTGTTTTATCAATTGTAAGGTGGCACTTTTCTAAAACAAATGCTTTCCCATTAAAACAGGCATGTTCGGATACAACAATCAGTTGTTCTTGATCACAAGAGCTGTCTGGTCAATAATGAGGAATGCATTTCAGTTGTTTTACCAAATCTCATATGTCGAACGAACATGCTTGAGCTTCCGTTTACCACAACTGATGTGTGAGTTGATGAATGTTTATATGTGAATAAAAGGCTAAATTCAATCTGTTCATCTTATAAAGCGATTGTGTCTCTTCAGAAGTTTTGAACTAAACCGCTCAATTCATATGGATTAGTTTTACAATCTCTATGAACTTTTGAAGCATCAAAGTGTCAGTTGTGTATAGGCCTAGCTGTCAATAGAGGGACAGAGAGCTCTCAGTTTTCATTAAAAAGATCTTAATTTGTGTTCAGAAGATCAATGAAAGTCTTACGGGTTTGGAACGACATGAGGGTGAGCAATTAATGACAGAATTTTCATTTTTGGCTGAACTATCCCTTTAACAAGGTTTTTTTTTTTACAATGAATGCTTTTTCAGCAAAAGTAGGCTATATGAAGCAAGGAACTGCTCTTAAGTAGATGTTAAAACACTTTTTCTAAATATATATCATCAAGATTTAAACATTAGAATGAGATTAGTGACAAGACTTGTCTTGGCAAAGTTACATCTCGTCTTTCAACTATTATCACGACCATATAAAGCAAGTAAACCTGGTATGCACGGAGCAAGCGCGACCTACGGGAATTACGTTAATATTGCAACCGGAAGTAATAGTCATGATGCTAAACTTTACGGCTTTTTTTTTTTGGAACAGCTATTGTTCAGCAAGGAAGCATTAAACTGATCAAAATTGACAACGATTTTTATATTGTTATGAAATATTTCGATTTTAAATAAATGCTGTTCTTTTGAACTTTCTAATCATCAAAGAATCCTGAAAAAAGTATCACGGTTTCCACAACAACAACAACAACAAAAATTAAGCAGAAAAAAACATTTTCAAGATTGCTAATAATGTTTCTTGAGCAGCAAATCAGAATATTAGAATGATTTCTGAAGGATCATGTCACACTGAAGACTGGAGTAATGCCCTATTGCCATCACAGGAAATATTATTTTAAATTGTATTAATATTTCACTATATTTTTGATCAAATAAACGCAGCCTTGGTGAGCATAAGAGATTTCTTTCAAAAACGTTAAAAAAATTTAAGCTTCACATTTTTGTTTTTAAACCTCTGGAATACCTTGCCCAAATACAGACTTCCATTGTAAATGTGTTCAGATTGAACATTCAAATGTATCCTCATCACAATGTCCAGATTCTGCTGAAAGCAACCTGTCATGCAGGATGAAACTTTGGGAATTCCCCCTCCAGCTCATTAGGACCCCCTGGATGAGCAGGTAATCAGGTGAGAGAAACTATAACATTTCCACCCTATTTTGTCAAAGGAAATGAAGCAGAGCTGCTCAAATGAGCGGTTTATATAGAAAACATGAGGCTGCAGGGGAAATCGCGAAGAAATCTATGAAGAAAGTAAAGTACTCAGTGTCTTTGTGTTGCTTTGAAAGGCAGTATACTATTTGCTCTCCCACATTACTGAACTCTCTCTACAGTCAGAAGTGAGCTGAATGCATTTAGAAAGCACTGGAATGACTTTGCAAACTGAGTTCAGGTTTTGTTTACTTTCATTTTTATTTTAAACTGCAGTGCATTAGGAGCAGGAATGTGCTGTTCTTTCTCTGAACATCCCTCATAAACATCTTGATCTATTTCTTTGTTGAGAAAGTTTTATTCCCACAGAAAGGAATCAGAGATTGTGGGTCACAATCAGCAGAAAGCACCAACACACAATTAAAAAAAAAATATATATATATATATATATACTGTATGTTCTACTCGCAACAAATCCCTAAAAGCTTGTGAACAGTTTTGTAGTGGCTGTGTGCAAGTTCTGCTAGTTCACAAGCCGACAAACTTACCTTGCAAAGGTCATTTTAGTCATTAAACCAAACATTTTTTATTGAGTGATAGGCAGTGGTTTAATTAGTGACATTATTATTTGCTATCCCGCGTCTTCTCATCACCCTCCTCAACCTGCTTCCCTTAGTGTTTGTACACACGGAAAAGGTGAAAAAACATATATTACATTGTCCAGTTTCCTCCCTGAATAATTCTTGATGCAGCAGGACTGACTTGCAATGGCGACATTTTTCACAATCATAACAGAAAATCCATGCACTGCCTTAACTCACTATAGCAAAAAGGCAGCATTCTCTCCTAATATGGTGTCTAAACAAAACAGTTACCCAGGGGTAACTGATAACGGTCTGGTTCCGGAAGTAAAAACTCCATTCATTTTCATAGAGAAATTGATTTTGAATGATGTAGCGTCTGGACCAATCAGACACACAAATTATTTATTATATTTAATGAATAATCCAGCAAACTCACTCTCCCAACAAAGGTCTGTGAAACTTCCCCCAAATCAAGCTAACACACTGGCAGAACTCGGTGTCCTGTTACAGTCCTGTTACGACCCAAAAGAATGTGCAGGGAATTGTGACTTAATTCTTGCTGAGAAGGAGAAATTAACCCTTTTAATCCTATATATTCTATATATGTATAACCATGTGATAAATGTATTAACATGTATCTAATTTTCCATCTCATGATTTTCCTTTTATGTGGTTTGGCCTATGTCTTCATTCTCTCTTCTAAACTATTTTGGTCTGAAACATGACTTGCATACTATGGTTAACCAAAATCATATATGTAGCATGTTTAGTCTCTATAAACTCCAATCTTCGTCCTCCATTTGTTCATTTACATTACATTTTGCTAACTTTATGACGCATTAGTATTGTAAGAATCTTGTAGATTGTTTTCGTAAACACCCAATGAAATTACACATTCAAATGCCCTGCTAGAACACAAAGGGTCGTAAAAAACTCCCTCCAAAGGGACCGCTTCGTATTGGCTCACGCACCTCCAGAGGGTGTGACATCTTCACGCTTTAAAAATCACTGATCACAAGATTAGCTCTCTTGCTCTCTTAGCCTCTGGCTCTCTTACTCTCTTGGTCCTTCCTGAGAAGTCCTAATGTGAAGATGAGGCTGAACTATAGAAGTCCCTCAAGGACCCCCAAGTTTGCGCCAAGCTGCGGCCTTGTCTTTCCATTCACCAAAGATCCTCTGACTCCCTCTGGTTCTATCTCATCAAGACCACATCAGCAAAGATCAACTGGAGCCTCAACAAATTGCATCAGGACAGTTTAATTCAAATGGGCGAGATATGCAAGTATCAAACTTAGTCTCATTATTTGATACATTAAGTATCCTTACCCCTTTTTAAGAAGGGCGTGTTAGAACTAAACTGATGGTTTGCTCAGGCTGTTGATCTGCTGAACTTCAAACAGTGCTATAACTTGCTTTCCTGTATTCTGCTTCAGCTCTCTTTCTCTTGGGAAAACTGTATGCATGTATATATGTGTACACTCACCTGAAGGATTATTAGGAACACCATACTAATACTGTGTTTGACCCCCTTTCGCCTTCAGAACTGCCTTAATTCTTCGTGGCATTGATTCAACAAGGTGCTGAAAGCATTCTTTAGAAATGTTGGCCCATATTGATAGGATAGCATCTTGCAGTTGATGGAGATTTGTGGGATGCACATCCAGGGCACGAAGCTCCCGTTCCACCACATCCCAAAGATGCTCTATTGGGTTGAGATCTGGTGACTGTGGGGGCCATTTTAGTACAGTGAACTCATTGTCATGTTCAAGAAACCAATTTGAAATGATTCGAGCTTTGTGACATGGTGCAGTATCCTGCTGGAAGTAGGCATCAGAGGATGGGTACATGGTGGCCATAAAGGGATGGACATGGTCAGAAACAATGCTCAGGTAGGCCGTGGCATTTAAACGATGCCCAAGGGGCCTAAAGTGTGCCAAGAAAACATCCCCCACACCATTACACCACCACCACCAGCCTGCACAGTGGTGACAAGGCATGATGGATCCATGTTCTCATTCTGTTAACGCCAAATTCTGACTCTACCATCTGAATGTCTCAACAGAAATCGAGACTCATCAGACCAGGCAACATTTTTCCAGTCTTCAACTGTCCAATTTTGGTGAGCTCTTGCAAATTGTAGCCTCTCTTTCCTATTTGTAGTGGAGATGAGTGGTACCCGGTGGGGTCTTCTGCTGTTGTAGCCCATCCGCCTCAAGGTTGTGTGTGTTGTGGCTTCACAAATACTTTGCTGCATACCTCGGT